GGCGCGTGGTTGGTTTGCTGGTTAATGTGATGGGTAGTAGCTAACATACAAGAGTCGATGAAGGCCTTTGAAGGACTACACAATACTTCTTGTGCGCGCGGCTGCCTACTACTGCTGCTGGCTGGATACTCATGCAAGTACTCATGATTTTACTCATAACTTTACTCAGAGATAGTCAGCAATCTACTCATGCAGTACTCATAGACGTCTCTAAAAGTACTCATCCCATGAGTACCGCTGCGAAAAACATGTATGAGTAACTCGAGTACTTTGTACTCACTAATGACTCATAAGGACATTCCTATGAGTACATGTTACTCATAGGCCATGGGTTAAGTCGAGTAACGAGAAATGTACGATACTCACCCATCTCATGGGTAATTACCCAATACTCATCCGGTCTGTGGATATATCTTGCTCAATTTTGTGCCAAGAAAGTCATTAAGTTTAAAGGATATCATAAGATGTCTTCTGGTCGGGTAGGGGTAACGCTCTCCCGGGAAGCTTGGGGAGTATGATGCTCGCCCAACGCTTTCGGCAGGTGCTTCACCGCGTCTGCCAGCTTTTCACTGATCTTCTCTCTCTGGACTAACCCCCACTCGTGTATGCACCACTCCCACCGACGCCTCCGCGCCCGCGCAGCGCCGTCTTCGGTTAGGTACGTTTAATGTCAACTCCATTGGTTCACAGCGCAAGCAACATGAGACGCTTCCCAGCGACCTGGAACGCTACAAGATCGACATGCTAGGCCTTCAAGAGACTCGAATCAACTACCAGAGCGAGCAGCAAATCGGTAAGTACCATCTTCTAACGTTGCCGTCCAGCAATATCCACCATTGCATCGGCTTCGCCATCAGTCCACATCTTCGCAGGTACCTGCACAAATATTGGGCTCAGTCCAACCGTATCGGTGTGCTTCAGCTACGACTTCCGAAAGGACAACGCATCAATGTCATCACTGCCTACTCGCCTCACAGCGGCTGGGATCTACAGTACGTGGACAACTTCTACACGGACCTGCATACGGCCATTGAACGCCTCCCACGACGAGACACCACGTTCATCCTTGGCAATTTTAATGCTAAACTCGGCCGTCGCAGAGATGCCGAAGCTTTCT